AAGGCATTGCAGCTTTTGCATTGGTCTTTTAGATCTCTCATTCTGGAGGACTCCAGCTGCCATGTTTTGAGGATGCTCAGGCAGTCCTAAAGAGAGGCCCACATGGGGAGGAACTGAGGCTTCACACTAATAACCAGCACCAGCATGCCAGCCTTGTGAGACACCTGGAAAGTAAGTCTTCCAGTCCCAATCAAGTCTCCAGATGACTGAATGCCCTCTGAAATCTTGACTGCAATGCCATAAGAGCCTCAAACCAGAACTCTCAGTTAAGCTGCTCCCAAATTTCTGACTGACAGTTTTGGAGGTAATTTGTTTTACAGCAATAGACAACTAACATATACACTTAGGAAAAAACTCTCAGAGGGTGAACAATGTAAGTGATTTGCCCTCTTTCCCCCACTACTTCTCTGGTCACCTAAAACAGCCTCAGTGAGATGGTGTTTAGCTACAATATTCTCCAATTGCTATCCTAAATAAGTCACTAGCAGTACCTAGAAGACTGATCTAATGACCTCTAAGATGTTCCTGAAAGCCTTTTCCTCCTGAATGTGTCTTGTTACCCATGATTATCTTGAAGAAATAAAAGTTCTGTGTATTGGAAAGAGCGTGCATTACACCGGAGACAGAACTCTATTTAAAACTTACTGTGTGCTTTTGGGTAAGATCTTGACCCTTTCTGAGCTTCACTATCTCTCAGGGCTGTTCTGAGAATTCATTAGATGACACATAATAATTTAAAACACCCATTTGGCATTTAATGAATGATTTTGTTTCATTTCCTACAAGATGACTTATGATCAAACATCTGGGATGAATCACGATTTTTAAAGTGCAGTGTTGAAATGAGCTAATTTTCCTAGGCTTCCAGTGTAGGTTTTCATTTTTTAAAAACAATAAACTTGATTAAGATTTGATTAGATGCTTTGTGACACAGCCTCTTTAAAAAAAATGACAAGGATGGTGAAAGTGGAAATGAATGGATTCAGAAGCCAGATGGCCAACATCATCTCTGAAACTTGCAACCGCAAGAGCATCACTTGACTGAAGTCTTTCCTTCCAAGAGAGCTATCAAACAAACTCAAACTACACTATTCAACATAATAAAAGTACTTTAGCTTCCTAGAAGGTACTCCAAATTTTGGTAAGAAAAGCTCAATGACAAGCACTTTCTTTGAATTTTTAAAAGAACCTGGTATCTTACTGAATGAATCAATGTTTTCTTCTTTTTTTTTTTTTTTTCTGAGATGGAGTCTCACTCTGTTGCCCAGGCTGGAGTGCAGTGGTGTGATCTCAGCTCACTGCAACCTCCACCTCTTGTGTTCAAGAGACTCTCCTGCCTCAGCCTCCTGAGTAGCTGGGACTACAGGTGCATGCCACCACGCCCAGCTAATTTTAGTATTTTTAGTAGAGACAGGGTTTCACCATGTTGGCCAGGTTGGTCTCAAACTCCTGACCTCAAGCGATCCGCTTGCCTCGGCCTCCCAAAATGCTGGGATTACAGGTGTAAGCCACGTGTCCAGCTGCAATATGTTTTCTAGCTATCCTCTTTTCCACCTCAAAGAAGTGGAAGTAGACAAACATCCCATAAATACATAGAAATCAATTTTTATTATTTACAAATAATTTTCTTCAAATTTACATTTTCTTTGTTAACAAAGAGAGCTACCTCACAGTCCGAAATCACTGAATTGCTACTTACTTAGTGTACTGAATAGTTAATATCATTAAAGCAGAGAAGTATTAATTTTTTATTTCCATAATTTTTTTTGGGAAAAGGTAGTATTTAGTTACATAAATTCTTTAGTGATTTGTAAGATTTTGGTGCACCCAGCACCCGAGCAGTATACACTGAAACTAATTTGTAGTCTTTTATCCCTTCCCTCCTTCCCACCCTTTCCCTCCAAGTCCCTAAAGTCCATTGTATCATTCTTATGCCTTTGCATCTTCATAGCTTAGGGACTTATGAGAACATATGATATTTATTCAACATATTCCTCAGTTGAAGTATTATATTTATTATTAATGATCACAGCTCTTTTCTTATCGATTACCTTGGTACTCTTGAGAATTCTCATTTTATCAGCTTTTTTTTCTTTTTTTTTTTGAGACAGAGTTTTGCTCTTGTTACCCAGGCTGGAGTGCAATGGCGCAATCTCGGCTCACCGCAACCTCCGCCTCCTGGGTTCAGGCAATTCTCCTGCCTCTGCCTCCTGACTAGCTGGGATTACAGGCATGTGCCACTATGCCCAGTTGATTTTTTGTATTTTTAGTAGAGACGGGGTTTCACCATGTTGACTAGGATGGTCTCGGTCTCTTGACCTCGTGATCCACACACCTCGGCCTCCCAAAGTTCTGGGATTACAGGCGTGAGCCACCGTGCCCGGCCAGCTTTTTTTTCTTTTGAGACTGAGTCTGGCTTTGTCGATCAGGCTGGAGTACAGTGACACAATCTCAGCTCACTACTATCTCTGTACCCTGGGTTCAAGCAATTCTCCTGCCTCAGCCTCCCCAGTAGCTGGGATTACAGGCATGCACTACCACGCCTAGCTAATTTTTTGCATTTTTAGTAAAGATGGGTTTCACCATGTTGGCCAGGCTGGTCTCAAATTCCTGACCTCAGGTGATCCACTCGCATCAGCCTCCCAAAGTGTTGGGATTACAGGCGTGAGCCACCATGCCTGGCCTGGGCTGTCTTTAGTAACAAATGGTAACTGAGCTGGGCAACTGTTCTTTGACATTTCCAGTTCTTATCTGTTAACATGTACAGTGATTTAAACAGGCTGCTCCATGGACAGCCTCTCCCTAACTGCTGCTGTCTTGTATCTCCTCATTGGTAATTATTTTTTCTAGCCCAAATTCCAGGTAAAACACTATCAATATTCTGGGGACCATCCTTTCATACACTGCTCTGTACACACAGCTGTTCACACATATTTAAACAAAAGTGGGATATTTACATACTGTTGTTATCATGGCCAAGTTCAACAGCATCAAAAGCATTTTCAGGTACTTAATTCAAGTGGCTGTAAAGTTAAAAAAAAGTCATTTTTTTCCTGATACAGTATCATCTTTGTACTCACATATTTCAATTTCTTGAATGTTCATTACAATTTTGTTTTTCCTTTTTATTATTTTTTGAGACAGAGTCTCACTAACACCCAGGCTGGAGTGCACGGTGCAGTCTCAGCTCACCGCAACCTCTGCCTTCTGGGTTCAAGCAATCCTCCCACCTCAGCCTCCAGAGTAGCTGGAACCACAAGCATGCACCACCACGCCTGACTGATTTTTGTGTTTTTTGTAGAGACAGGGTTTCTCCATGATGCCCAGGCTTGTCTTGAACTTTTGAGCTCAAGCAATCTGCCTGCCTCAGCCTCCTGAAGTGCTAGGATTACAGGCAAGCCACTGCGCCCAGCCTTTATTACAATTTTCAATGTTTTACCCTATGTTAGCAAACCTTTCATAGACTCAGTTTTAAACAGTATTCATCACTGTGAAATGCATTGTCTTAATATTTATAATTAGGGTACCTTCATTAATAATGTACATTTCATAGTGCCAAACAACATTGCCACATCACTTCTAAAGGACTCCTGGAAGTCTGAGTCACAAGTATGTGACAACAGCTGCAGAACTGGGTGGTGAAAGTTGTGAAAACTTTCTGGCTTAAACAGGAATTGGATCAAAAACAAGAAGTCTTAGGGAAGACAGCCTAGGGCTGGTCTGGTGGCACAACAATGCCATCAAGTACCCAGCCTCTTTACATTTTTCTGCTCTGCCATCCTTGGCATGCAGGCCATTGTTCTCCTGTTTGTTGCTTCATGAGTGAACTATGCGTGCTGTGGCTCTTCACATTCCTCCAGGAAGGAAGACAGGTGTAGGGCAAAGACGAGCTCTGATTCGCAGAGCCTGTCCATCTAAACGCTTTCCTAGAAGCTTCAGTAGTAACTTCAGCTCTCAACTCATTGGCTACAAGTGTGTCAAATGGCAGCCCCTTGCTGCAAGGGAGTCTCAGAAAATAACTTTGGCTAGAATTAAAGTTTCATTAGCGTGACTGGGTAGATAAAGAAGAGCCTGCTACAGGAAGCCAGTATCACTGCAAGTTGTTATTCTATGACTGGAAACAAAGGACACTTCACTCTTAACGTCAGATGTGCAGCTGATAGAGTACAGCTAATATATGGTATGTGTTTTACCATGAACAGCAGGGTAAGGGAGGGTGAGGTGTAAGAGATGCTACTGCATTAGCAGTTGAGAGGGAGAATTTCCCCCAGTCACAAATTCAGTGGTAGGTACCTCGAAGTCCTTCTCAAGCTAAGAAGGAAAGAGACCAGCTCGCAATGTCCCTTGTATTATCTATTCCTTAGTGGAAGTCGGGAGCTGTGACAATGCACATCTAACAACCCTTAACTTACTATACAGACTCCTAAACCTCAGCAGAAACTGAAGAAAGGTTGGCTGTGGGCAATAGATTTAACCTTTCGTTCTTACGTCTAAGTTACAAAATAGAAAATAATACTGTCATCCCTCATCTCCCACAGTACTGAACACGCAGTAGGTGCTCAATGAATACTTGTCGATTTTTGTGACGATTAAGGGGAATGAGACGGAAACTGACACTTGAGAGACTGGCACACGCGAGAACTGCACCACGCTTTGCACTCATAGCTCATTTACTCATCAGCGTGCGGTCAGGTAGGCATTACTGTCCCCATTAGAGAAGTCAACGGAGGCCCAGCAAGGACCGCCAGGGTCCCCCAGAAAGTAGAGGAAGACTTCAAGTTTAACCAAAAGCCTGTATTCCTTACTCATTGTACCCCACAGCTTCTCTGCCAAAGCTCCTGGCACCGTGCTTTGCAGACAGACGACGCTCAACACGTTTTCAGAGTGTGGTTCAGCACCAGGAAGGACATCAACTTTTGCAGAGACGACTCTTGGGATGGAGAAAGACTTCCTAAATTTTCAGGGTGCGGTCGAGACAGGGTAGGCTAGCGCCAGCGGAGGTAGTGGCTAGGCCTTAGGGCAGCTGGGGCCGAGGCCGAGCGAACGGCCAGGAGGCAGAGGCTCCGAGGAGCCTGAGCTGCCGCCGGGCGGCGAGAGTGCCGGGCAGCCCGAGCGCGGCGGGCGGGAAGGGGGCGGAGGCAGGACTGGCCGGGCCACGTGTAGGGGCGTGCCGCCGGTGACGCACTTCCGCTCTGCGCGTTCCGGCTTAAAGGGGCCCCAGCATTTCCTCACAACAACAACAAAACCAGCGCGCCCGCGGCCGGCTCCACGGCTCTCGTCCCCGCCCTCCTGCCACCTGCAGTTGCCTCGGCCGCACCCGCCCGGCCCTGCTTTGCGCCACCCTGAGCTGTCCAGCCTGAGGGGTCGGGCGGAGAGCCGGGCCGCGCCCGTCGGCCAACTTCTCTCACTGCCACCCGCGCCGCCTAGCGAGACCCTGGGCTGGGCCGTGCCCGCCGCCGCGCAGCAGGAAGGGAGCGGCTGCCGCGGAGAACGCCCCGCCGGACTGTGTGGCTGGCGGCCCTGCCTGGGCGCGGAGGGCGGCGGTGGCTGGCCCCGCGGCCTTCTTTCAGGTACCCCAGTCCCGGCTGACCGCCCTGAGCCGCCAAGCCCCTTCCCCGACCCGCACCGCGGGGCCGTGGCGTAGGGGCCTTGTTGCGTTTAAGCTTGGGGGTCGCGGCGGGGCGGGGCGGTGACCCCGGGCCGGCAGTCGTGGCCTCACCCCTCCCACCCTTCCTTCTCAGCGCTTCCTCCCTCCTCGCGACTGCCTCCACAGTTCGGAGCCCGGCGGAGCCCGAACCTGGCGGGGAGAGCTGCCTCCACGGCCCGGCACCCAGACCCCGCCGCCGCCGCCACCACCTCAGGCCATCCTTGGTACCAGCATGGCCTTTGTATCGCCCAGTGCACTTGTGACTGACTTGGACCCGGAATACTAAGAACTGATTTCTCTCCGCATCCCAGCCGCGCGGGCGGTGACCACCTCGGCTCTTTTGGGCTTAACTGCCGCTCCTCTTGACTCTGTCCGACTTTGGGGCAACATGGACCAAAGTGGGATGGAGATTCCTGTGACCCTCATCATTAAAGCACCGAATCAGAAATACAGTGACCAGACTATTAGCTGCTTCTTGAACTGGACCGTGGGGAAACTAAAAACGCATCTCTCAAATGTTTACCCTAGCAAACCAGTAAGTGTGTAAAAGCTGGGCGCAGCTGCTGTGATGAGCAGCTGCGTACCCTCCTTTCTCCTGCTCTTCCCCTCCAGTCTTGAATCACATACGTCTCTCTTCGTAGACCGCGAGGTATTTTGAGTTCTGAGGTTGTATCTCCTGAGTGTTTGAACCATCGTTAATATTTTCAGTTAATTAGTAAGGGGATACAGAAATATCAAGAGACTTTAAGAATTGGCGGGCAAAGCCAAGCGTGGTGGCTCACCCCTGTAATCCCAGCACTTTGGGAGGCTGAGGCGGGCGGATCACGGTATCAGGAGTTCGAGACCAGCCTGATCAACATGGTGAAACCCCGTTTCTACTAAAAATACAAAAATTAGCCGGGCGTAGTGGTGCGTGCCTGTAACCCCAGAGGCTGAGGCAGGAGAATTGCTTGAAGCCGGGAGGTGGAGGTTGCGTGAGCAGAGATCTCGCCACTGCACTCCAGCCTGGGTGACAGAGCCGGAAACTCTGTCTCAAAAAAAAAAAAGAATTGGCAGGCATGGAAAAGGGACCATTTTCCTTGGACTTAAAGTCATCAACCTAATTCGCGAAAGAAAGATGTATCCTTTCTTTGTTTTTTAGAAAAGATAAAGCACTACAACCCGTATCAGAACTTTTATTGCTTATTAGACTAAAATTCCATTTTACTTTCAGCACTTGGCCCAGAAATTTGAACAGAAGTTTAAGATAATTTTTTTTTCCTGGAAATAAGTATGTGGTCCCTATAAAAATTATACTTTCAGGATTACTATATATGATTCAAGGAGCAAAGAATTTTAAGTTGTAGATTCACTTTCACCAGCACCCCTTTCACATTTTTCTCCTGTGGAGGATACATGGACATTAATTGAAAAGAGGACTGCCCTCCACCCCGCCATCATATGGTGCATCGTTTTAGTTTTCTCATATGGCTTTTCCACTCTGTGTTCCATTCTATATCATATCTGGATATTGCAAAGATAATAAAATATAGATAGTACGGCTCCATCTGTCCCCAAAGTCAGATTTGAAAGGACGTAGTTGGTAATCAAAGAGTCTTGGAATAGTTTAGAACATAAGTGTACTGTCGTGTACACTTATGTTCTAAACTTATGTATACAGTATACATAAGAATACTGTATATGAAAGTGAAGCTTTCACATTCTCCATTGTATACATTTTTTATTCTTGAATAAGTAGTGTTTAATTACTAAAACTTTTGTTTAAATGAAGAGGATTGGATTTTAGGGTGGGAAATACTTTTGGCATCAGGCACATTTAAGCATGGATCCGCTGGAAGGTAACTATGCTTTCTACGCTTAACACTTGTTTTATGCACCTAAGTAAGGAAGACACTTGGTCTATATTACGATACTTATGAAGACTATTTCAGTGTTGTAGTATTAAATTTAGTTAGGCTTTTAGACTTGCAGAGGAACCACAGAAATAGGGCGGTTATTGCAAAAACAGGAGGTTTAGAAAAGCAATTCTTAGTTGGCATTAGCTGTGTTTATCAGTACTTTGTGATACAAATATTTTTGGAGAGGAAAAAACCCCTGAGGAATTTAGATACTTGAAACAAGCTAGTTAGAGCTTCTATTTATTCACATCTTTTGTTTGAAAGTTAAGATTTACACAGGGAGTAACAATTTGTTTGAATATGTCTTGATTTAAAAGAATTCCTGTTGTGTATGATTAAACATTTTTGAAATGGAAAGTAGATTTTTAGAATAGTCAGTTGAAAGTCATAGACTTCCTTAATACTGTTCATAACAAATATTTGCTCTGGTATGTACATAGGTAAGAGCTTTATATTGTGCTATTAAACCAAAAGGGACTTAGTCTGCAGTGTATAGACCAATTTATCACTTTTCTAACGCTTTGTTTTTTGAAAAAGTACTTGAGATGGGAGTGGGAAGCTTGTCTGCCTTATCTACCCCTGCGGAGGCCTGCTTCTGGCAGGAGGTCTGCCTGTGTAACACAGTCACTAGTGGAAGATGTCAGTGCCCCTGTGCATAGTTAGCTGTCTGAGGATGAGATCTGTTGTAGAACTTCTCTCCTCCTTCCCAACCCACCTGTCTCTTGTAGCCACATTGGAGACACTTTTGGAGGCTAAACCAAACACTATACAGCCTATTAATCGCTAATGTGGCAGACTTTTTTTTCTCCTTTGGCAAGTTTTCGTTAAGTGAAATGTAATTATCTAACTTTCATTTCTAGGTTGAGAGTGGGTGGAGCTTGGGAGCGGGGATGTGTGTGTTTATTGTCTTAAAACTTTTTTTTCTTGTTTGGCAAGTTTTCTTTAAGTGAATTGTAGTGTCTAACTTTCATTTCTAGATTGAGAGTGGGTGGAGCTTGGGAGTGGGGGTATGTGTGTTTATCATCATAGAATTTCACTGAAAACTTTATATAGTTATTAGATTTAGTAAGTTTACATTCTCATCACATGAGAATTGATTTGAAGCATCACAGTTGTTGAGCAGCAGTTTAATGGTATTCCAAAGTCATAGGTAGTCCTCGATGTAGGAAATGGAGTCTAAAAGTTTACTTTGTAAGGTCATTATTTAGAATTCAGAACAGTTTGTTATTAAGCAACATTATAAAGGAAGTTTACGTTCTTCTGACCAACTGCAATGACTAAACATTGATTCTGTGTTTTCATATTTTAAGTGCTGTTATGTTTAACAGAGATAATTTCTGGTGGCTTTTCCTTGCACATATGCCTCCTTTGATTATCAGTGTGTGGACTTGGCAGAGTAGGACTCCAGTGCCTTGTGGGAACAGCAGTGCCCCAGTAAGTAAAAAGTTGACGGCTCTCATCAACATTGCTCTAATTGGATCTGATGGGTTAGGGGTAGGTGGAGGGCCTTTGTCCCTGGAAAGTAAATCACTGCTGCTAGAGGGGAAAGAATGGGAATTTGAGGTTGTTCTTTTAGGATCCTCCAAGGATAGGTCATATATGTACATGCTGTTAATGAAATTCTGGCTGAACTCAGTGAAGTTGTAAAATCTTAGGATCCTAGCTTCATGGTCACATACTGATTTCACTAATCACAGTCTCCATATGGATATGTTAAATTCACTTCTCCCTTCCCTAGCCAACTTAGAACAAATGTACCCCTCCCATTCAAGGCACTTTTTTTTTTTTTTTTTCATTGATTTATTTAACTAGCATTTTATTGGCCTAGCATTTGAATATTTATGCTAAGTGTGAAGATGATGGTAAGAGTCCTTTTGTTTTATGAAGCTCAGGTCCAGTGACATGTGATAAATAACTGTAATAGTATGTGACTAATGTTATACAGGAGGGATGTTCTGTGTGCTACACAGGAGTACAGGAAAGGAATGGTCAGCTCAAGTCAGGGTTCGGGGATTGTGTCGCTGTTTCAAGAAAAGATTCGTGGGGACATTTAAGTTTTCTTAAAGAGTTGATTACAGTTTTAAGCAGACAAGAATCAGAATCTGATAGCTTCCTTTAGAAGGAGAGGAAACATTAACTTCTTTTGGAGTTAATGTTTGCACTGATGACCTTGTTTTATATTAGTGTATTAGTAATATAATATTGGGGAAAACGATGACAGATCCTTAATCTGATCTATAAAGGGAGAGGTGTTTTCTAGTTAAAAATTTAGGCAGTTGACATATTTATGAAAATGTTCACAAAGTCATAATTAAAAACCTTGGATGTGGAGTTGAGCTCTTTTGGAGTTTAGTTAACTTTGAATGATATTGATAACTGGTTTAGGACTTGGTTTAGAAACTGGAAAGTATACTAGTTTATATTAATAGACTATATAGATAATTTTGAGTTGTATTTTAATATGACAGTTGTCATCACTTAATGACTAGTTTTTCAGGTCCTGAAGTTGGCCTGCACTGTGAAGTAATTCTAAAATTTAGGTAATTGCTGTTTGGTGGTCAAGATACTTGACAAGGAGACTACTTTTACTTGAGTTTCAGACTTTAATCTGAGTTTAGACTTAGTTATTAGAGATGTAAATATCAAAGTGGTTGATAATAGATGGATCATCCTAGAGAAATTTTTAAAAAATTTTAAAAATAGGAATATCTAAGTCCAGTTAGGCACCTTTATCATTCTCTCTTCTTACTATATCTGTTCTTATAAACAAGCAGTCACTAAGATGGACGTGACTCACTCTGAATTCAATTTTGAAGGTAAACCTTTTTGGGATTTGCATGGTTTGGCTGTCCGTTTTTCAGTCTTGGCGTCAAAATACCTCTTGATTGTGTCCTTCAGTTCTGGGTAGATTTCCTCTGTCTTTGCTGTTTGTATTGTTTAAACTAAAGCAGTCATTTTCATATCTAGTTCTCCTGATCAGCTAGGCAGGTTTGTGCTGTTTTTTCAAACTGTCCCTTTACTTTCAGATTCTGTTAGAATTAAAGAAGCAAGAATAGAACCAGTTGTATATATAAGTTCTGTTATGAGATTATGACACTTCATAACCAACTTGCCTGCAATCAGAAGTCTTATTTTCATTATTGGTGGGATAGCTTATATCAATTGAAAATTACATTTCTCTTAGTTTTGTAATTTCCTATTACTTTACTTAGGCAGGACATTTAAAAAATCTACTTGTTTAACCACTTTGGAATTGTTGATTTAAATGGGCTATAATCCATAAACAAAATGATTTTTGTTTTATAAAACTATTGTCTTATAAGATTTTAATACATTTAAGAGGGTTTCATGTCACCTGGGAATGTAGATCAATATTTTAAAACCTCTTTTGAACAAAGGGTACTATCAAATTGAATGTGAAAGTTGATGAAAAACTGACTAAAAGTTTTGACTGACTGCTCACTGATGTTTTATTGCTTGATATTCTTTGTAGCCATATGTCTTTTTGGAAAATATAATAACATCATTACGAAGGTAATATTTTGTTTAATCATCAATGCTTTTCAGATAGGATTTTTGTAGAACTTTTAGCCTAAGTTTTTTTTCTTAACATAATAAATTCTGCTTTGATTGTCTA